TGGTCGTTTTCATAATTCTCTGTTAAAAATTTTCCCCCTTTTGTCTCGTGCCTCTTGAGAAGAAGAAAGAATTAGAAGGGAAAAAAGAGATCCTGACACGGTATACAACATCCGGTCAAATGATCGAGGTGGGTATCCTTTGTCGATACAAAATCTGAAGCAAGTTTTGGATCACCTTGTGAGGCTAATAGTTGTTTTAGCAGGTCGCATTGGGCAGTATCTAGTACGCTTGGTGAGTTTCTATTAGAATAGAGCGCCAGACTATTTCGGTGGTTATTTATGTAATAATCGGATAGTAGTTCTTAAAATAAATAGAAGCAGGATCACTTAAATATAAAAAAAAAAAAATTTTTTTATAAAAATTGTAAATTTTTTTATAAAAAAAAAATTTTTTTAATTTTAAAGATGTAATTATATATAAAATATCACAGATGATGCTAAAATTGGATGATGCTAAAATTCATATGATTACATGATGATTTCTGCTATTATATAGTAAAAGTTAAAAAATATTTTTAAACTAGATTTAGTGTTAAACAAACCTACTTTTATGTATTAACAAAAGTTGTTCTTCAGATGGAGATGATTCTAATGATAGTAAAACTATCAAAAACTACCTATTAGATTATCTGCAATAGTTCTTCAAAGTTTTAAAGTGTTTGTTTATATTTATTTACATGATTTGCAAGTTATAAAACAGCGATTTAAACTTTGAAGAACTATTGCAGACAATCTAGTGAGTTGTTTTTGATGATTTTACTATCATTAGAACCGTCTCAATCTAAAGACAACTTTTGTAGTACATGAAAGTAGATTTACTTAACACTAAATCTAGTTATAATATATTTTTTATTTTTTACTATATAATAGTGGAGATCATCAAGTGATCACGTGAATTTCAGCATCATCCGATTTCACGATCATCCGCGACATAAATTTTACACTGAAGGTTGCTTACACTTGGTAAAAAAATAAGGTTGCTTTGTACTAAAGTTAAAATTTTTAGTTTGTCTATACAGTATATAACTTTTTTTTTTTTTTTACTAAGACAACTTATCTTTACCTTCATTTGTAAGCAACTTTGTTCAGCGTAGAATTTTACATGTAATTACGTTTTCAAAATTAGAAAAAATTTTCGTAAATTTTATGGAATTTTAAAAAAGTGTTGTTTTTGATATGCTTAATTCTAAATTTGGAAATTAAGTTAAAATAATCTGGAGCTTAAAATTTATAGTAATTTTATAACAAAAAGTTTTTCTTGAACGATTTTTACTATTACAGTATTAACCCTAACTTTAGTATATATAGACTCTAAACGAACTTTAAAGAATTTTCGATTATCATGTGACTGCAACTTTTTGGTGGGAAGATCCTATTCTATTTTAACTTGATAACTCGTGATGCATGCATTTATATCCTAGTTCATCATGATTTGTCCATCATAATTTGTCACAATCGATGGAATTTTATCTAATATTTTGAATTTTAGAGAGAGGTAAAAGAAAAGGGCAGTATATTGAAAGTTTAGAACTTTGTTGCTTTCGCTGATAATTTTTTTCACACATTGCATAATTTTGTAAAATTTGCTTACTTATATGTCTAGCTTAATCGCAAAAATCGTAGCATTCTTATCGGAAGAGCCTTTAGTCTCAACTCCAAGGTACATGCATTCTCTTTGCGCAAATTATTTCTGTAACCTAATATTATGACTTCTTTTCATATTAGCTTTAATAAGTTTCGTGCTGTGTCTAAGATAGACATACCTGCTACGACGGAACTCGCAGCTAGGTACCCATTTACATATATTATTTTGGTTAATAATTTGATAGATTCATAAGGAAACATTTCTATTTAATAGATATGAATGCGAATGGAACACCATTCGCATGGAAGACGAGAAAAACTTTCGAAATGCAGCAGTAAGTAGTTCATATATAGTTTTTCATCATTTTGTTTTGTGTTGCTTATTTTGACCAAGATTAATAATTATACCTCACTTTAAGATTGCAGATGAATTAATTCAGAAAATACTCAAAACATGTGAAAATCATTATGAAGCATGCGAATTAGTCAAGTCAGAATCTAATCAGTTACCCAGAGTAAAGGAAATGATCGAAGAGATGGCAGTTTCTGCCGGTTAGAAATAGATAGATTACTCATCAAGTTCCATTATTTTTAATTTCATACTAAGATTTATGGCTTATATCTTGTTTCCTACGTTAATAGTTTCTCTAAAAGGAAAGTTAACGGAGTTGGAGAAAATGATTGATGAATTTGCAAAAGGCAACGAAGAGCTAGAGTTTGAGCAATGGAAACAACAACAACGCCTTTTATTTAACCAATATGTCCAT